ATCAGACAAGAGAAGGTAATCAGGGGTATCCAAATAGGAAAAGAGGAAGTCAAGTTATCTCTCTTTGCAGATGACATGATCGTGTACCTTGAAAACCCAAGAGAATCTGTCAAAAACTTCCTCCTTACACTGATAAAGGACTTTGGAAAAGACTCAGGATATAAAATAAATGTATAAAAGACAAACACATTTCTTTACACCAATAATAAGCAAACAGAAACCCAAATAAAAAGCACAATTCCATTCACAATAGCCACAAAAAAAAAAAAAAATACCTTGGCATCTTCCTAACCAGAGACGTGAAAAACCTTTGCAATGAAAACCAGAAAACACTGCTCAAAGAAATCAAAGAGGACACAAACAAGCGGAAAAATATTCCATGCTCATGGATTGGAAGAATCAACATTGTGAAGATGTGCATCCTACCTAAGGCAATCTACAGATTTAGTGCAATACCCATCAAATTACCAGCAACATTCTTCTCATACCTAGAAAAAACAATATAGTAATTCATATGGAAACACAAACGACCAAGAATAGCCAGAACAATCTTCAACAAAAAAACAAAGCAGGAGGTATCATATTACCAGACTTCAAACTTTACTATAAAGCTATGATAATCAGAACAGCTTGGAATTGGTTACAAAACAGGCATATAGACCAATGGAATAGAATTGAGATTCCAGAAGCTATACCTCAATTTCTCAACCAACCCATTTTTGACAAAGCCTCCACCACCTACCACTGGGGAGAGGAGAACCTATTCAGTAAATGGTGCTGGGAAAACTGGTTGACCACATGCAGAAGACTCAAATAAGACCCCTAGCTGTCCCTATACTCAAAAATTAACTCTAAATGGATCAGAGACCTAAATGTAAAACTTCAAATGCAGGACACACCCTTATGGAAATTGGAACTGGCATCCAATTCCTGAACAAAACCCAAAACCCACAGGCCATAAGAGATAAGATAGACAAGTGGGACCTCATTAAACTGACAAGCTTCTGCAAAGCCAAAGAACCATCAAGAGAGCAGGGAGACAGCCTACAGACTGGGAAAAAGTATTTGCCAACTGCAGGTCAGGCAAAGGCTTAACATCTTGGATCTACAAGGAACTGAAACATGCTGAAAAGAAAAAAACAAACAACCCCATTATAAAGTGGGCAAAAGATATGAACAGACACTTCTCAAAGGAAGACATCTGAGCAGCCAACAGACACATGAAGAAGTGTTCAACCTCACTAGTCATCAAAGTGATGCAAATCAGAACCATACTGAGATACCACCTAACTCCAGTCAGAATGGCAATTATCAATAACTCAAAAAATAACAGTTGCTGAAGAGGGTGTGGTGAAAAGGGAACACTCCTACACTATTGGTGGGCGTGCAAACTGGTGCAACTTCTGTGGAAAACAGTGTGGTGATTCCTAAAAGCTCTAAATATCAACCTCCCATATGACCCTGCAATTCCCCTACTGGGAATATACCCTGAAGCACTCTACCAAAAAGATACCTGCACATGTATGTTTATCGCAGCATTGTTCACAATAGCAAGAACCTGGAATCAACCATACTGTCCATCAAAAGTGAACTGGGTTAAAAAAATGTACATATACACAATGGAATAATATGCAGCCACAAAAAAGAACAAAATCGTGAACTCTGCAGCAACCTGGATGGAACTAGAGTCAATAATACTAAGTGACCTCTCACAGAAACAAAGATCTGAGTATCACATGTTCTCACTCATATACTGGACCTTGAACATCCACTATAATACTATAAAAAAAAAAAGACTGACAGTGGTGGGAAACTATGGGGGGGGGGAGGAAAAGGGAGGTGGAATTAATGGTAGTCAATATCTGTCTGGGGATGGGGAGACACCCCTTATCAACAAGGGTGCCTGAATAAAGCATATTTGTATACCTAACCTTAAACTGTACCCCACAATATCAAAATAAAAAATATTGATTAAAAAAAGTTACAAAACATGTAAAATTTGGTGTTAATTTTAAAATGTATAATATATATCCATACATATGTGTGTATACATATATATACATACATACAAATATGATCATATCTGTGATTGTAAAAAAAGATTGTAAGTGCAAACACTAAAGAAAAAAGAGTGTTGTATAGCTGAATTATCAAACCACATGTGATTATGTTTTATTCTTGACTTTTGGTAGATCACTTCTTAAGTACTCATGAACTACATTATCTAGAAAGTGTTGGATAAATTGAATTACAAATATAACTAAACATAAATAAATGAATACATCTTTCGTGAGTAGTTAACCAACCAATAGGACCAAATTATTATGTAGCATAAATGACTTTTGTAATTTCAACTTTTACAGTTATTTTAAGTTATAGATTTCCTGTGTATTTTCATACTCCAGATTTCTAAAGAGATTGGCAAGTTTCTGAGGATACTCCAACATGACGTGCTGTGGTAAATGACAATTTTATCCCAAAATGTATGAGAGCCAAAACCTTCAGTGAAGATAGAGAAGTGTATTGGGTAAGAATTTCTCCATGTTTTCTAGTAATAGTATTAATTAAAGGTAAATGAACCTGAGAATATTGGGCTTGTGGAGTGAAACATTTCTCTGACTAACCCAAAGATGCCTGCAGTAGGAAGGACCTTGAATAATTGAAACTATACTCCTGTTAGAAGACCAACTTGAGAAGTTATTGTAGACAGCATCTACCAAATGAGAAAAGGCCTGAGAGACAAGATGGTGTGAGAAATGTTGGGGACCTGGAAAAAGACATTTCCTTCCTTTCCTATGCCTGTGAATGATCTGAAATAATTCCTTAGTGAGGTCCAAAGAAAAAAGTCCATAGTGTAGATGTAATCTATATAGGTGTAGCTTTCTACTAAATCATACCTCCTACTAAGACATTATGCTCCCAGCAAATGGAGAAAATAAGACTGTTTCCAGTAGGGTATACGTTGTAGAAACTAAATGAAAAATATATATTCTTCTTCAAGAGTGAATCTGATTTTTATTTTTAAGCTAAAGTTTATAAAGTTATCAACTGTCATCCATAATTTGAACTGGTAATTTTTTTTACAATATTTTAACCCAACTTAATTATATATGTTATATGTTACAGAAGTCTTAGAGTTTTAGCAAGCAAGAAAAAAATCTTAGATCTATTCTAATTCAATCTCACATTTTAAAGATGATAAAGCACAGGGAAGTTTAGTGATTTTTTTAATCACACACCTTGATTTTAAAAATTTTGGTTTCCTAAGTATGCTTTGTATCACCCCAAATTACCTGCTTATCAATTTATAATATTTAGAACAGCTAATGTTTCCTAAGTGCTTAGTATATTACACACTGTTCTGTGTACTATAAACTATTTTTTCTTAATCTTTCTAAACCCCCTAAAGAGTAGGTATTATTTTATCCTCATTTACAAATGAGGAAACTGAACCTTAGAAAGTTTAAGAAATTTGGTCAAGAGCATTAAATCTGGAGCTAGGTGTGGTGGAGCAAGGACTGACTGAGCAATCATTTTTTTTAATACAAGGAAACTTTTATTTTCAATTTTCATCAAGAAATTTGCTGCGTTTGGTTCTTTTTCCTTTTTTTCCCCTCCACTTTATTTCATTCTAGCCACTCAGTAGCTGGGGCTGCTGGGCTCCTTGTATTAAAAAGATGCCAGCAGAGGTAGCTGTGTCTCGCACAGAGGCCCAGCCCACTATGAATATCACCCCTCAATAGGAGAAAAGGAAACAAAATAAACCAACACAATAAAACCAAAAAAAGGGAGAAATTCAGATCATTTTCTTCAAGTCTGGCAGAAATCTTCAGCAGTTTGTGTGCAACAGATGTTACTGTGGGGAGAAGCCAGGGTCCAGAAGGCCAGCCCACCAGCTCCCTGCAGGTGGCGCTGGCGCTACTGATACATGTCTACTTTAGCATTAATTTACTTCTTTATCAACAATACCGTATATCCACACTAAGCAATCAGGTTATTAAGACGACTTACCTCTTTGCTGCTTCCATCACCTGATTTGCTCTGAATCTCCTTATTATCCAGATTTTCTATATCAGATTCTCCTGAAGCAATTGGTACGGTTTCTGAGACACTAGGACTGTGGATAAGTGATTGACTCTCATTTTCTGTCATGGTGTTTTTCTCTGTGCCACTGCTTTTATCTTTATCCTTGAGGAAATCGTGGGTGTTGCTCAAATCAGAAAGAGTATGATCAGAAATATCCTCTTTCACATATACACCATTTACATGCTCTGTGGTCTCCTTTGGGACATTCTGTTTTTTGCATAGTATTTTAGGAAACAAATAGTTTATTCCTTTTTTAATGCTTGCCATTGCAAGCTGGAGATTTTTTGCTTCATTGTTCTCTTCAGTTGTTGCATCCTTGCATGAACTAAATGAGCTCACCAATGCCAGAAATAGGTAAATTATCTAAATAAGGAAGTAAAATAAGGCTAAGCAAGTCTCATTTTGTTTCCTTTTAAACAAAAATTTTGTTTAAAAAGCTGACTTGAAAATACAGTATATACTTTCTTAGCATTTTTCAAGAATATAATATATTGTCATTAACTGTAGTCACCATGCTGTACAATAGATGTCTTCAAATTATCCTTCCTATATAACTTTAATTATGTATCCTTTGACCAACACCTCCCCAATTCCCACTCCCCTCTGACCACCCTGGCCTCTGATAATCACCATTCTATTCTCTAGTTTTACAGAGTGAACATTAAGTGTTCTTACCACAAAAAGATCACTATGTGAAGTAATTCGTTAGTTAGTTATATCTAACCACTCCACAATGTATATATACTTCAAAACATTATATTGTACACAACAAATACATACAATTTTATATGTCACTTTTTAAAACAAATACATTTTTTAAAAAGGAAAAACTGACCAGAGATTTGAAAAGTGAAACATGAACTAAAATGCTATTAATTTCTTATTCATCTACAATGTGTCAGGTGTCAGTAGGGGATTTTATAGCCAAAACTCTCTTAAGTTCACAACATCCTATGCATTATGATTTGTTTGTCTTTTGCAGATGAAAAAGACAAGGCATACAGATGCCAAATATCAAAACTTACACAGATTAGACTGAAGTCTGTCTTATTTCTAAGCTTCTTTTCTCAATGAGCCAAGCTGTATTATCCAAGGTGAGAAAATGAATTGTTACTCTGGGCAGCTCACTTCACTTCTGTCCTATCCCTGGGAGATATGTAAATAGTTCTGCAAACTCATGAGAAATTGTTTGAGGGGAGAGCTATCCGTGGTCCTGACGAACATATCTACTGGTTTTCGAGGCATGCAAAGTTATTTTCTGCTAATGTATTTGTTTAAAAGAAATAGATGAGTGGTGAAAGAATCATTATTAATACTTGTAACTTATTTTGAAGCCAAGGATAGTGTATATTTTGACTTTCATTATCACTAAGAAATATGATCAAGGACTCTTCAGTTACCAGAGAATCATATTGCAATCTTGTTTGCAATTTAGAGCATAGATTATATTTTAGACCATTATACTGACTATTTGTAAATAAAAAAAATGTTTGAACACTTTCAGACACTCGTATTTTAAAACAGCTTTCAAAAATTTTGGACATATGTGAAGAGATGAGTTTCTTAAATACTAATCATTACTCTTTTTCTCATGGACATACATACTTGAAATACAAACCCTGTGTGTACTATGATTTTTTGAACTGATAGCCCAGACTGCTGCTAAGTGACTAATAGAATGGTAGCATATACAGTGTGAATATACTAGAGAAAGGGGTGATTCATGTCCAGGGTAGGAGATTTGATCACGCTACTCAAAGCAGTGAGCAATTTAAAACTTATGCAAGGTTTATTTTTGGAATTTTCCATTGTATGTGTTTAGATCACAGTTGACTATTGGTAACTGGAACTGCAGGGAGTGAAACTGTGGTAAGGGTGGGTTCTTTTAAGATCCCTTTAAAGTTCATTCAACATAAAATTTTTAATGAAATAATTTATATTTTGGGGGAGTAAGTCTTCAAGCACAGTGTGTATTTTACATTTACAGCCTATTTCAAATTGGATGATTGATTTCTCAGCAGATAATAGCCATATAAATGCTAGTGGTCACCATATTGGACAACCCAGTTATATAGACCACTGGATCTTACTAATTTAAATGATGAAAATATCAGAATACCTTATGCCAGTTTTTCAAGGAAAATGTAAAAGTATGAACTACTTACCAACAAGTTTCCAATTAAAATGACCATCATGTAAAAAGAAAGACACCGGGACTGGCCTCCAAACTTCATACAGTCCCATAAGGTCTCTATCCACTCTCCACAGAGTATCCGGAACACAAACAGGAGGGAGTGGAAAAAGTCATGCATGTGCCAGCGTGGGAGCAGACAGTCTTCGTTTATGTTGCAGATGTACTTTTCGTAACACAAATCAAACAGCTTCATGCCAAACACAGCAGAAAAGAAGAGGAACATGAAGAGGAGCAGGGCCAAGTCTTTCAGTGCCACCAATGAGTTACGAAGATTCTGCATCAGAATCTGAAATGTTGGCCAATATTTCCCCAACTTGAAAATTCTCAACTAATAAAGCAATGCAAAAACAACAAGAAACAAACAGCAAAAAACCTGATCAGTATTTATTAAAATGTACATTCAAAATTTTTATCAGTATTATGTACACATATATAGCCTTTAAAAGTTTAAGCATTACTAACACTAAATGCTGAATATTTATTTTATGTACAATTCTTAACGCATCTTACAAATTCTATAATCTTGTATACTGAATCTGTACATATCCTTTTCTAGGATGTACTTGTCAATTCCCATTCAACTGTACTCTAGTTTTATGTTTTAATATCTGGTAGGACAAGTATCTATTCTTTGTTTTTGTTTTTCACAATACATTGGATTTTTTTCCTCATTATGTCATACAGATGATATTGAAAGTCTGTCAAGATGTATTAAATTCCACTAAAGGCCCTATCAATATTTCCTTTTTAAAGTAATATATCAGAGACCAAACACAACATTCTAGGTTTTGTCTGATTATTCCCCTTCTTTACACTAGATTTTTGATTTCTATTTATAAAACATTATAAAAGATTACCTTAATAATTTATAAAACATTATAAAAGATTACCTTAATAATTTATAAAACATTATAAAAGATTACCTTAACAATTTTGATCACTATATCACTGTAACTTTACAGTTATTTAAAAACCATGCATCATTTTTATGTATGCTTTAACTTCTTGACTTTTTCTAGGATACAATTGGGTTTTTGGACTCAAGAGAATTTAAGCATCATAGATTTAGTCCACTAACCAGCTTTCCAGATATTTTGATACTGTCTTTTAGCACATTCTCTGCATTTGCCAGTCGTGTTTCATCCATAAGTCTGATGACATTATCCTGCATATGTATTTCTACTATTTATTAGAAAAATTTATGGATTAGGATTTAAGATAGGGTTCTGAAGAAGCTGCCCTCTAGGAAGTAATCAGGATAAGAGCAAATGAACTTAATTGTTCTTAATTCCTGCTACATTATTTCAACCTGTCACCAGAATGTGACAATGTATTATTTATCAAAAGCATATTTCCATAGATATCATTCTAATAACATTATTTCTTTGTCTAACTTTCTGAATCTCACCACCACCCTACACTACAGACACATACTGATTCTGGCCTAATAATTTTCATAATAACATTCTGCTGGCTTGACGGGTCTTCCTTTATATGCTACCTTTAGAAATACTTGCCTAATTCCAGTTTTTTGGTCAATATTAGCATTCCGCTTCTGATACTCTTCATGTCTTGCTTTGCAAAATTTACCTAGTTACCCTAACCCTGCTCTTCCTAAAACTATATCTCAAATTTGCTGCATATATGACCTTGTTTCCTTTAATGCTTTGGTCAAATAACAGCATTGGAAACTCCTTACTCTTTCTTGGGTCACTAAGCTCTTTATATATGGATCAATTCATTTAATAATTCCAATGTTCCAGTGGGATAGGTATTACTATTGCCCTATTTTATGTCTGAATAAACTGAGATAAACTTTGATAAAATAAAAATTAGATCTCGGATTCTACTTACAATCCTGAATAATCGAAAAAGAGCCAGTCCTTGAATATTTGCTAGATAAAGTTCTGCCAAGCCATGGAAAACAATTGCACTATCAAAAATGTTCCAGCCTACTTGGAAATATCCATATGGATGCATGGCGATTATTTTAAAAATCATTTCTGCTGTAAAAATTCCTATAAAAACCTAAATCAAAACAAAACACACGAGTGAGAATATGACTCCAACAGCTGTATCAGAATCTTCATACACAGAACCTTCATTTTTCACTGTCACATTCCACACAGCTCCACTCTCTAGATCTAGTTAGTTTTGGGGTCTGCATTACAAGGACAGACTTATACATTTTAAGTCTAATGCCACTGCATACGAATCTTCAATTATCTTAATAACATCCACCTTAAAGAAAACAAAAGAATATTTAAGGGTGGAAAATCTTTCAATTTTGAATTGTTCTTTTGGAGAATTGGGGTACATGTTAGGATATTTGATTTTTCATTCTGTGAAAGAATAAAAAATATATGATTCAGAAAAAAGTTAAAGTCAATCTAGGAAAACTGTCCCTTAAAAACTGTACCAGCAGCTGGGTGTGGTGGCTCACACCTGTAATCCCAGAACTTTGGGAGGCTGAGATGGGAGGCTTGAGCCTAGGAGTTCAAGACCAGCTTGGTCAACATAAAGAGATCTTGTCTCGACAAATAAATAAATAAATAAAAACTAGCCAGGTGTGGTGGTGTGTGATTGTAGTCCCAGCTACTCAGGAGGCTAAGTGAAAGGATCAACTGGGCCCAGGAGGTTGAAGTTGAAATGAGTTGAGATTGTGTCACTGCAATCCAGTCTGGGTGACAGCAATATATATATATGTTGGCAGAAATAACTAAATTAATGTTTTGGTATCAAGTAAATGTATAATTTGAAACTGGAAGCAGTTTGGAATTTTGTGTCAATACCAAGCAACAAAGCAACGACAACATTAATAAAAGCCAAGACATAGAAACACTATACAGTTGCTTGAATAGGAGTTATTTTAATCTCACAGAAATCTATTTTGTCTCCTGCATTGCATGTAAAAACGGACAGTTGGAGTTGGATCTCAAAAATACCTATCCAAAATGATAAGCTTTAATCTTAGGCAAATACAAATGGTTAGAACAGACAGGACAAAATGCTGTTGTAGTCAGGATTCAGAATCCAGCTGTCAGCGAAACACCTGTTTGTGCCTGTTACATCACTTCTGTCCTATTCTGATCTATGGAGTGATGGTACTAAGAGAGCATATTGGGGAAGGGAGAGGCAATGCATAATTTCCACTTAACTTGACCGTCAAGCAACTGACCAGGAGTTCCAAATTTAAATGGTAGAATTTTAAATTCCAGCTGTAAAACTATTCAATGACCAGACTTCCCAAGTGGGGGTGGTGGAAGGAAAGAGCATAAACACAACACTTCATCCAATAATAATGCATATTGTAGCATACTGGAGTTATAAAATGAAATATTGTGAATAGTGATTAATAAAGAAAAGTTGAAACTACAAATGGAAATAACATACAATGATAGTCTTACCAGGTTTCCTATGCTGAGAAGATTGATGGTTTGTTCACTCATTGGATAATGTTCCAAGGCCAAAAAATGTATGTTTAAAATTATGCACATAAAAAGGAAAAGATCAGTAAACGGGTTCATTATAATCCTATGGACAAACTCTTTTAATTTTAACCAACAGGGAGAACAATTCCAGATGAAGAAAGTTTTAGCAAACCCATACCAACACAATGGACATTTCTTTCTGGATTTTTTACATTCTGGAATGAAAGAACAGAAAAGTTAAATAGAAGCAAATTATTTGTTTACGTTCTCACTATAGACAATCTTGCATTTTCATCCAAAGAAGGATTTGAAACTAGACTTCTGATTTGAAATTATAAAGTAAAAATATTCTACACTAATCAAAAGCAACATGAAGTACATTTTCTCCACTGTGTTCAAGTTTGTTAAGTAATTGAAAATGATGTCAACTGTATATCAGAAGAAAAAGGTAGGAGTATTTATCAAGAAAACAAATATGGAACATAGTGTAGAATATTATGACTTAAAATTTCTGGATTTACATGCTTTACAAAATAATGCCTTTCATTATTGTCCATAATAAAGAATTGCTGGTTATATGCAAAAAAGGTAAAGATAAATCTAGAAAAGATCTTGAGATTTTAATTTTATATACTACAATCTCTATTTTTATTCACAAGCTATAACTCTAATATATTTTAATTTTATTTTAATTTTTTTTTTGAGTTGGAGTCTCACTCTGTTGCCCAGACTGGAGTGCAGTGGCCGCTCCCAGCCACCACAACCTCGACCTGCTGGGCTCTGGCGATCCTTCCGCCTCAGCCTTCCAAGTAGCCGGAATTACAGGCATGCTACCACGCCCAGTTGATTTTTTTATTTATTGTAGAGATGAGGTCTTGCTGCCCAGGCGGGTCTCGAACCCGCGGGCTCAGGCAATCTACTCACCTCAGCCTCCCAAAGGCGCGGGATTACAGGCTGAGCCACCGAGCCCGGCTTATTTTAATTTTAAACAAAAAAAATTCCTTGGTATTTGGTCACCCTTTCCAATGTTTAAAACATTGTGTTTCAGAAATTCTTATGTACTGTTCATCTTAATATTCTCATATTATTTCTTAACTCTCAGTTATTACCATCTAAGATTCTGAAGAAATTTCTGTATTTCTCTAAAAGTGAGTCATATGAATAGTATTAATACTTTCCATAGTAAGTGTCTAAATATTTTTTACTTTACCTTCTTTATGTCTGAGAGTGGCATCTTCCAAGATATCCACAGATATGCTTGTGGAAGTTGGTGATCTTTTCTTCATTTCTATTTGTGTGGTCTTGGCCTAAAAAGAAGTTTGATGGGTCTAATACTGGCTTCTCCCTTTGTAGGTCCAAGACGATAAGTGTAAGATATGCAACCTTATTGAAATACTGATTCTTACCTCCAGAAGCCTTTCTTTTCTTCTTTTAAACTGATACATAATAGTTGTACACAGTCTGGGGGGGTACATGTGATGTTTTATATATGCATACAATATATAATGATCAAATTAAAGTAATTGGAATACCTATCACCTCAAACATTTATCTTTTCTTTATGTTGGGAACATTCCAATTTTTATCTTCTAGCTATTTTGGACTATATGATAAATTATTGTTAACTATATTATCCACTAAACTGTCGAACAGCAGAAGTTATTCCTTCTATCTAACTGTATTTTGTACCTCTTAACCATACTCACCTCCACATCCCAGTCTTTGGTAACTACCCATCACCTCTACTTCCATAAGATGCACATTTTTTAGCTCCACATATGAGTGAGAACATTTGATATTTGTGTTTCTGTGCTTGGCTCTTTTCACTTAACATAATCACCTCCAGTTTCATCTGTATTATTGCAAATGACAAGATTTAATTCTTTTTATGGCCGGATAGTATTTCATTGTGAACGTATAGATACCACTTTTTCTTAATTCATTCACTCCCTAATGGACCCCGAATTGATTCCACATTTTAGCTATTATGAATAGTCCTGCAATAAACATGAAAGTGCAAATATCTCTTTGATACGCTTATTTACTTTCTTTTGGGCATATACCCAGCAGTAGAATTCCTGAATCATATGGTATTTCAATTTTTATTTTTTTGAGGAAACTCCATACTATTTTCCATAGTGGCTATACTAATTTACACTCCTACAAACAGTACTCCAAGTCCTTCATGTTTCCATAACTTACTACTCTTTATACTTACGGCAGAATTAAACTGGTTTAGTATTATTTGAAAAATGAATTTATATAACATGAAGGTATGAGATCAACTATAAAAACAGCAAAGACTAGAAAATGTTAGTGGTGTTATTAATATTTGATAAAAAATTCAATATGTAGTTTAGGATTATTGTCAATAATAATAATTTGATAAAAAATTCAATATGTAGTTTAGGATTCAGTCAGCAAACATGCTACTAAGTAAAAACAGAGTATTTTCCTAAATCTGTTTTTTCTCTTCCTTTAAGTATATGTTAACTTTATAACTTTATAAATTTTTCTGTATATCTGACAAAGGTCTAACATCTAGAATCTACAAGAAAGTCAAACGGACCAAAAGGAAAAAAACAAACAGTCCCATTAAAAAGTGGGCAAAAGACATGAATAGACATTTCTCAAAAGAAGATATATGAGCACCCAACAGACACATGAAAAAGTGCTCAACCTCACTAATCATCAGAGAAATGCAAATCAAAAATCACATTGAGATACCACCTAACCCCAGTAAAAATGGCCATAATTAATAAAACAAAACAAAAAACAACAGATGCTGGCAAGGGTGCAGAGAAAAAGGTATGCTTCTACAACTGGTGGTAGGAATGCAAATGAGTGCAACCTCTTTGTAAGACAGTATGATGATTTCTGAAAGAACTAGACATTGATCTTCCATATGACCCAGCAATCCTCCTATTGGAAATATAGCCAGAGGAACTCAATTTTTCTACCAAAAAGATACCTGTACACACATGTTTGTTGCAGCTGTATTCACAATAGAAAAAACTTGGAACCAACTGTGGTGCCCATCGAAGCTGGACTGAATTTTTAAAAAAATGTGGTACATATACACAGTGGAATATTATGCAGCCATAAAGAAGTACAAACATATGGACACCGTAGCAACTTGAACGGATTTAGAGTCTATCATATTCAGTGATCTATCCCAGAAACAAAGAACAGGGTACCATATGTTTTCATTCATAAGTGGACCTTGAACAATCATCATAATACTATTAGAAAGGGATTGGCAGTAATATAAGAAATTAATGATTGGCCAGGGGAAGGGGTTAGGATTGGCAGTTGAGGGAAACTGCCAGGGGAGAGAGGGGCACACCTTATCAACAAAGGTACCTGCATAATGAACATTTGTATACCTAACCTGGAATTATACTCCACATCTTAAAAAAAGTCAAAGTGATTTGGTTTTGTAATGATGAAATAAATATTGAAGAATATCAAGTAACGGGACAGATTTAAAACAGTTGTCTTGGATAGAATGTATATAATTCTAAATGAGTAGGACAGTCATAATTCCACATCTTTCTATTTCTTACATCTCTTGAGCAATGGGTTTTTTTGTTTGTTTGTTTGTTTGTTTGTTTGAGTTGGAGTCTCACTCTGTCAACCAGACTGGAGTGCAGTGGCCGCTCCCGGCCACCGCAGCCTCGACCTGCTGGGCTCCGGCGATCCTTTCGCCTCAGCCTTCCGAGTAGCCGGAATTACAGGCATGCGCTACCACGCCCGGTTGATTTTTTGATTTATTGTAGAGATGAGGTCTCGCCTGCCCAGGCGGGTCTCGAACCCGCGGGCTCAGGCAATCCACTCACCTCAGCCTCCCAAAGGCACGGAATTACAGGCTGAGCCACCGAGCCTGGTTGAGCAATGGTTTTAAGAGAACTTCTGCTTTGCTGGTCTTACATTGAACAGGCACTCAAAACTCCTTGGCTCTGATGTAAATATTAAAAGTTTTATATATTTATAACTATAACAACTATAGCCATAAATGTTTCTAGTGACCATGCATAAAATATTTGAATTTAAACTTTAAGAACAACTGGTGAAGATTACATTGTAGTGATTTCTAATAGTTTTTACATTTGGCGTACACAAAGTATAGCAATATTTACATACTTTTTAACTCAGAGTAAGTGGGTAAGACTCTTCTTGAATAGAATTAACTAACTTGTAGGTTGCTATTGCCCCGGCATTGAGAGATTCATGGTTGGGGCTCACTGATAACCCAACCCAATAACTGTGTTGGCAAGCTCTGTGGTGTATCTAAAGGGGCATAGTAGATATCAAGAAAATCATCAGTCATCTCACTCAGAATTAGTCAGGTTCCCTGTAATTTCTTAGATGCTAGAGCTAGAGGAGATTAAAAACAAAAGCACTACATACTGAATTTTACTGGAAAATTAACAGATTCTGAAGTTCTGCACATAGCTCTATTTCCTCATTTTTTTAATCAATAAAATCTCAGAATGTGAGGTTAGTTTACTTGCTTAAACCATTATTATTTCAGAAAGTATTTTTTAGCTGGACTATAAGCTTATATAAAATGTAAGTTATGATTTATACAATGCCACATTTTCATGAGATAAATTCAACAGATGTCTATTTTTTGTTATTAAGATTTGACATGGATTTCTCAGATGTATACTGTCATATGGATGATACTTTGTGATATCGTGACTAAATCCTTACTGTAGAGGAATTAATTACTTCTTGTGGAGTGATTCAGATAGTGAAATGATTGCTGAAATTACACCAAAGAACAATTTAGTAAAGATAATAGTCCCGGGGTGGAGAATGGGGCAAAGAGGAGGAGGCAATAATGTTATTGATATAGTCAATGCTAAATTTGTTACTAATTTGGCTTGAACTATGGATATATTTTATAATATAAAATGAATGAACCACATATCTGTCTATCAATACATTTATCTTAATGGAGTGCCCCAACTGAATTCATAAATATTGAAAGAATGCCCACATATTGGTTAACTACTAAGGATGTAACTATTTTAAATGAAGAATATTAAAATTCTCAACTCTTCTATTTTGGAAGTTTAAGAGTTAATAAGGGCAAATGCCTAAACTTTTGAACAATCCAACATTAAAACAAAACTGGAAAAATGAGTTAGGATTCTTCTCAAAATGAGTTTAAATTTTCTTTACAGGAGAGGCAGGAATAAGGAAGGATCTCACATTTACCTATGAATTTCTCACATTTACCTATGAATATCTGATGTGTTCATCTTGGACTTGGAGTAGCTCTTTATAGTGCAGTCACATTGGCCTTTTTAATCCTCTAACTCACCCCTCCCTCTCCCTCTACTTATCCTGGACACATTTTTTCACATCTCAGGTCAAGTGTCAGCGCGTCATAAAAACCTCTTCTGATTTAGTCACTCTTTATTAAAAGCTCTCAAAGCACCATGTCCCTCTGCTTTGTTGTACTTGCCACAGTTTCTTTTAATTTATTAAAATAGAAAATAATTTCATGACCCCTCATGTATCCAATATCTAAACTCAATAATTAATAACATACTATTCTTTTTTCATTTTTGTTTCACCCTACCTTTTTCCCAAAACATTTATTTTTAATCAAATTTCAGACATCTATACTTTTCAGATAAATCTTTTTATAAAACAAATTATACCATTATCTCAATCAGCAAAATTATTCATTCCTTAATATGATCTAATACTCAGGTAATACTCAATTTTATTTTGTTGCTCAGAAACATTCTGTTATAGTTGATCTGTTCTAATCAAAATACAAGCAAGGTCCACACATTGTGTTTATTTGGCAGGATTATTAATTATCAAGTAATTTAATTTATTTTTTTCTACAAGACCTATTTGTTAAAGATATTGTGTTGTTTACAACTATAAAATTTTCCAGATTCTTGATATGGCAGACTGTGTCTTTTTAGTGTAATTTAATGTGTTCCATCTCTTTCTATAGTCTCTGGAAAAAAGCAATTAGATTGAGGCCTATTATATTTAGCTCAAATTTCAGGGAAAATATATTGTGTATGTTGTTTAATATTTCCTATTTCATAACACTAGGAAATACATAATTTATTGTCCTATAAATATAATTTGATGTTTATGATAATTTTATACTCTATCTCCCCATTAGGCCATTAGCTTCATGAAGATAGACACTGTATTTGTATTTATTTAAATATGTTTACCTTTAGTACTTAGTACAATTTTTTAAAGTATTTTAATTATTTATATAGATAAGTTATAAGAATGCGAGTTGATATGTGGTAAATAGTTTTTCAAACTGTATGCCCATAATTTTATAGACCTAATTCTACTCCTTAGGTTTTGTCAAGAGCTGGCAATTCATAGTCAAGTTTCACCTGCAAACTGCGTAATTGATGGAATGATACCATTTCAGCACTGAGTCTCCAGAACAAGAAAGTAGTGAAGGATGATCCTCTTCCTTAGTGTTGAGAAATCAGATACCAATGAGTAAGCCTCAAACTCTGCAGCTGGAACTCCTTAATGAGGATTGTACTTGAGAATTCATGAGGACACTTTCCACACATCTGGCGCATAGTTGATACTCAATAAACATTGTATGTTGCTGCTATTGTTATTATTTTATTTTCTTTAAAGACAGTCAATATTAAGAATTTCATATTGATGGGTGTTTATTGGGACAGTTATACCTTCTTGTTTTCCCATATTTAGCCATTGCCTCTTTATAATTATTAATTATCAATTGAATTGTATAGGATACAACTATACAAATTTGAAATATCTGACTTAATATTGTGTCTTGCTCTACATTTCCTACTTTGGGGACTGAACTTCAATTTTCCCAGGTGAGATATTGGGGTAATTACTACACCTTAAAAGGTTGTCACAGTGAAAATGTAACAATGTAGTAAAGCACTTAGCATTGAGTCTGGTACCTAGCAAATAAACATAAATGTCACATAATATTGACGGTATTATATTGTTATGAGATAAATTGCTTCTAAAATGTGAATTTATACAAAGACAGATTTTTTTTTCTCCTTAAAATCAAGTGTTCTTAATGTGGATTGCTGAGTGTGATAGTATGGATAAAAGATATCTTTAATATGATATATAATACTAATATGATATAATAATTGTATTAATATTTCTTAATAATATTATTTCAATTACTTAGAATAATTTAAGTTCTGCTTAGTGTTTTGCATGAATTTATTTCATTTGACCCTCACTACAGCCTATAAGACTGGTACTATAATTATGTACATTTTACATATAAATAAGCTGAAGTTTTAAAAAGTTAACAGATTTGGCAAACATTGTACATCTATTAAGTGACTGAAATGGACTGACATTCATATGATGGAAAAACTATGCTTTTAGCCAGTGTGTCCTACAGCTTTTCTAGAATGTGAGAATATGAAGCATCTAAGCAGTCTCCCTATAATTCCAGAATTGGAACTGGCATCTGACCTGTCTTAAACAGACAATGAACTTAAGAGTCCTCAACATGTTCCATTTTCAATTATTTTCCCTCCAGTGATTTTATATGTATAAATAAAAAATATATTGCAAGAATGACTTATACTCTTACTTCCGAGAAAACTCTGAATGACAAAATGTTCTAGAACTCTTCCAGGAAAAGTAATTGTTTATAATTAAAATTTTAAAATTAAAACCAGATGGGCTTCATGAGATCTAGAGCTGAAAAATCAATGGAGGTATTGGGAAACTGGGAAATATCCAAGTTCTTCCCACGCAGAGTTAATAAAGCATTTCATCTTGGGATAAGAGAAGTATTGTTACGCTCTTGGATACATTTGAGTGTAGCCCTAAGCCCTTAAGTTTCTGAAATGCCACTTCAGAACAAGTTACACATTCAACATATCATTCAGGCCCTAATCTCTTTCAATCTGGAGGACCCTGAACTCATTTCTTAGAGACAGAAAGCTTTTGAAATTTGTTTTTCTGTGACTTACTCATGAGTGATATAATGGCAATGCTCAATAGCCTCTTTTTATGCATGTTTTCTTCATATTGCCCATAATTGCTTTCTATTCAATGGTATGCATGTTATGGACACAAGTATCAAGTCATTCAGTATGATACTACATCATGTCATTTAGGTCCTAGTTTTGGTACTGCAGTTTTCTAATGCTTCTTCACTGATGATGACTTAACAAAAGGGCGATATGTAGGGGAGTTAATATTTGCCTGTTTTTGACTTAGTAGGGATCTTTAGTATTAATGAACCTTTTAGGCAGCCTTAATGCTTTCCACTTCAGAATGTTTGTTGGCCTTTTATCCTTTTTATCCACATTATATGGGAGAGTTCCAAGTATAGTTTCTCTCTTTTGTCCTCTGCCTCAATCTAGACTCTTTTCCCATTTACTTTAAGGGTAGTTTGAGGAACAGGTGTAAGATTGCTAGGTCCTGCAGAATATAAGAAAGCTATTTATCATTGCTTTTCTTGGTCCTTTTTTTTTCTTTTAACACACTTACGGCACTGCTTAGATTCTTAAAGATAATTTTCCAAAACTTCCTTAATGCACTTCTGTCAATCTTTTCAGATTCTTTGATCAAATTGTTTTTTTCTCTATGAGGCTAAAAGTCTGAAGAAATATTCAAATATAACACAATGAATGTTGATAGTCACAGTAAAACATTATTACGTTTTATTAATCATGGATTTAACTTTTCTCGGGATAAAATAATTTTCTATATCATGATAGTAAATTTTTTGAAAGAATTAGAAAACCAATAAAGTAAACTATTTCTTCTTTTATAAGTTTAGTACTACATTTTTATCTACTCTTTTTAGTGCCTTATAATTTTTAAATCAAGAAAGGTACTATCGCTTTTGAATTAGACACAGACATTTTTCAAAATTAATTCTGATATGTTATCTGAAGGAGGTTTGAATTAATAAGCTATGCCTGCATTAAGAGTTAAGTTATGAAAAACATAATCTATTCAAGTTTATCAGCAGTAGTCGTACAGATTTTGGAACAAAAATGTGTAAGTTAAAGAAACCTTTAAAGATGCTGGTCACTCCTACTATAAGACACTAACAAAGGAATGCTATGTAGCAAAAGCTAGCCCTCTTATTGAAATAGTTTTTGATCCTCTGATCATGTGTCACTCATGAGCATGTATCAGATGGAAATATCCTCCAAGGCCTTGAGAAGAAATCTCTAGTGCTATGATTGTAAGAAGCATTTAAAAAATTATACCTTGGCTGCTTCATTTTCTTCTTGATGTTCTTTTATCCTCTGTTGAAATGTTGGTTCAATCATCTTCGATTTTTCAGCAGCAGTCTGGTTTTCTTCTTCATAGGCCATAGCAAGTATGCCCAAGAACAAACTTGCCATATAAAACGCAAACCAAAAACTTACCACAACAAAAAATACCATGTAGATCTTCCCAGAAGCATAAAGGATCTAAGGAGAGGTGGAATAAAAGACAAAAGATGACAATGTTATTTATATATTTGCATTCTCCTATTTTAATATAAAAAGTAAAATTCTGCAGTAAAGATAATTTGGTCACAGCAAATGAAAGTATATACTCTTGTTAGTATAGAATAGTGTACAGATTCTAGTTTGTCATTTATTTAAGTGTGAAACAGGGGCTAATGGTACCCTCTATTTCAAAGGTTTTGTATGAAGAGCAAATGAAACAGTGTACATGGAGATCTTAACATATGATAGGCACACAATAAATGTTAACTGTATTGTTTTGTTTTTTTTTTTTTTGAGTGGAAGTCTCACTCTGTCACCCAGACTGGAGTGCAGTGGCCGCTTCCGGCCACCGCAGCCTCGACCTGCTAGGCTCTGGCGATCCTTCCGCCTCAGCCTTCCGAATAACTGGAACTACAGGCTTGCGCTACCACACCCAGCTTTTTTATTTTTTATTTTTATTGTAGAGATGAGGTCTCGCTGCCCAGGCGGGTCTCGAACCCGCGGGCTCAGGCAATCCACTCACCTCAGCCTCCCAAAGGCGCGGGATTACAGGCTGAGCCACCGAGCCCGGCTTAACTGTATTGTTAAACATAACACTCTTACATGACAGTTGACATTATTTTGTTCGTTTATGTTCCCACAGTGGACCAAAGAGTACTCAGACCAAACAATATTTTTTGAATTATTGGAAAGTAATAATCTCGAAAACATGAGATGGAATCATTGCTAAATTTGCCTAGCCATAATTAGTTCAATTTAGGGCAATGCTTATGGTATAACCCGGATCAAACCAAAGCAAGCTCTATCTACACTAGTCCATAAAAACTTAGAGCACAATAATACAGGTCCTGAGAGCTCCAACATCAGAAGACTCCTAGACTGGTTTTCCATTTCACAGGTAGGGAAAAGATTGCTTTCAACCCAATGTTAACAAGAAAATTAGCATACACTTTTAGGGTTACAAACCAAAAGGCAAGACTTTTATTAGTATATAAAGTGATAGAGTTTATAAGCATTCACATATATTTTTTGCTGATTGAAATTTCATTAAGCATCTCTGTTAGATGTGGAGAACATAAAAAATAAAATATGACAAAATATATCTTTTTACCTAAGGATGATAAAAGTTATCAGCTAGTTTCTCAATTAGTTAATCTCTTAGTAGGGGAAACAGTTGGACAAGCAACTAAAATACCATTATCTAAGGAAAGTACAGTGGACTGTGAGATTCCAGTGGAGGATGTCCCTTATTCTGAAAGAAGGGCAATGGGGAAAAACTTAAAGAAGAAACCCTGGCTTTGAGGCATGGATTTCATGTGTGAGACTGAAGGCAGATGAATTCAGGTAGAGGGTGCTACACACATGGAAACAAGGAATTATGAGAAAAGTTCATTTAGGAAACAGCAAGTCTTTTTCTATACTCAAAGTGGAGTATATATTGAGATATTGTTAGAAAATAAATTACAGAAGAATGCAAAGACTAGATCTTAAAGGGCACTATGTATCATGCATATGGACTTTGTTTGTTTGGGTTGGGGCTGTCTAGACTGGAGTGCAGTGGCATAATCATGGCTCACTGCAGCCTCAAACTGCTGGGCTCAAGGAATCCTTCCAACTCAGCCTCCCGAGTACCTGGGACCACAGAGCATGCTGCCACACTCGGCTAGGTTTTTATTTTTATTTTTTGTAGAGGAGATGTCTTGCTATGTTGCCCAGACTGGTCTTGAACTTCTGGGCTCAAGCAATTCTCCTGCTTTGGCCTTTCAAAGTGCTGTGATTACATGCATAAACTACCACACCTGACCTGATACTGAATGTCAGTTTATAGGACTCTGAAAACCACTAAAGGATTTTTAGAAAAAGGATAACATGATAAGATTATTTTAGAAATAAGAGGCTCCTAGTGTTTTGGAGAAAACTCTGACACTTGTCTAAAAGATTGGAAAATAACAATATAAATACTAATCTAACAAAAATTTTAAAAACTGTAGTTTGCATTACAAAGTGTCACTTATAGTATTTTCATGTAGTTTCTTTCACCAAAAACACAATTGTGCTATATATGCTTGGTCTACTTCATTTTCATTTAATAAGATTTTATGAAACTTTATGCCCAAAATATATTACATTATCCTATCATTATTTATGATACATATACACACTTAATCCCCACAAATTATCAAGTCAATCAAAATAAGTATGTGTGTGTGTTTTAAGAAAGAATGTTCTCCTTTAATTATAAATGCCTTCAGAATTTAAAGTAATTTATCCAATATCTTTTGTTGCTAACTATTCTGCTATGATAATAACACTGTATATTCTACTGAGATGGAACATCTCTTCAAAGAAAATTGAGTCTCCATTTTAAAGAATATTATGATTTTTTGAGTAACCATGGCATACATGTAATTAGCTATGAAGACAGACTCAGAATTTGCATTTCAATCTCATTACAGCAAGACTTCCGTTACAACTGGAGCATGATAGAATATTAAAATGGATGAGAATAAATAATGTAATAAAAATAATAGAATATGTTACACATTCAATAAATGATGAATACCTGGTAATTTCATACATTCAAAATGTTTTAACTAAATAATTAGTACCTGGCAATGCTCTTTACTTAGTTAATATCAAATGTATAATATCACAGGCTTTGGAGTAGATTGTGATCTGAACTCTGGCAGGTTCATCCGCTATAACTTCTGGGAGGCTACCCCACCTCTCTGAATCTTAGTGTCATCATATAAAAAGCAGAAACACACACACACACACACACACACACACACACACACACACACACACACACATTCTGATCTTGCAGAATTGTTTCAAAGATTACATAAAATAATAAACACAAAATCACAGACCAGGCACAGTGTCCAGTATATAGTCAATAATTCAATAATTCTGGTTCTCTTTTCTTTTGTCTTCAAATTCTCTATGTGAAAATTTAATAAACTGTATTACATTTGACCATTATTTTAGAAGGAAGGGCATGGTGCCATTTCTTAAGTGCAGTGCAGATTTTTCTCTGTTCTTACCTGGTGATAAAGGGCTTCAGGGTAATCCTGAGTCATTAACCGGAATAGGGCAAGCAAAGCCCAGCCGAAATTGTCAAAATTTGTGAAGCCGTGATCAGGATTTATGCCAGCTTTTACACACGTATATCCTTCAGGACACTGACTAAAGAAGACAAAGAAAAGAAAAACTGCTTACTGTTAGGTGACTAAATGATTATGGCCAAATCATAAATATAGAGCATCTGCCCATGAATAATAGCTTCCTCTTCCACAGGGTGTAATTAGTCTTCTGCCAACAATCTCCATCCAAAAAGCTGCAAATGAGTTGGATTTTAAGTTCATACAACTGAACAGTGTTAATTCAGCTAAAATTTTAAAAAAGCCTCAAAAGTGGTTTTGGAAAGGCTTTTAAAGAATATTTTTTAATTGACAAATAAAAATTGCACATATTTGTTGTGTATAAACTGAGCAAATTGTTTTTTTGTTGTCTTAAGTCACTAAGAGGTTTGGAAAAACAAATACACGTGAGATGGTTAAATTAGGCTAATTAACATATGCAGTAACTCACATAATTATCATTTAAAATCTACTGTCTTAGCAATTTTCAAAAATACATTCGCTTTACTACTTAATATAAAAGAGGAACTATATACATGTCACAGTGAAAGAGTAACTGATGGAAAACAGTACTGATAAAAAAAATAAAACTGAAGTAGTTGAGGGTTTAATTTTGATATGATCTCACCTCAAACCCTTAGAGTCCATTATTAAGGGTGAGAAAACATGTATCAGGTCAATAATTTATAAGCAATATTTGCACTGGGTAGATTGGATTAAATATTTATTTCATTTCCTTGTAGGGACTTCTCATATTTTTTATTCTACTGAGGGGCCTTGGTATTGTAGTTGATTATTAGAGCAGTGGCCCAATAAATCATGCTACCCTCCATCTATGCTCTTGTGTAGTTCCCTCCCTTGTTATTCTGGGTTTGGTCATGTGACTTGCTTTACTTCTAATGGAACAAGCAGAGGTTTAAAAAGCATCTGTGCATTGGGGCTTTCTAAATTGCTGATCTATAGAATCTGAGCAAATTGCTTTTTTGTTGTCTTAAGTCACTAAATTGTGGAGTGGTTTGCCATGCAGCAAAGTCTGATTTCTATAGGTAAAACACTTCATGACTTTCTCGTCTTGCCTTAAAATATATCACTGTGTTCTGAATATCCATAACCAGGTGTCTGCAAAAAACATATTTCAGGTGATATTTGAGTCTGTCATGTATATAGCAGAATTAGCTGAAGTAGGATTGGACAAACACAGAGGTGGGTTCATAATCTGGATTTGAGAATAGAATGTGAGCCCAGGAGAAGTTGGGTACACACACACACACACACACACACACACACACACACACACACACACGCTCAATAAGTGAAAAAATGTCTACATCACTTGAAATTAACTAAACGATATAACTCATACTCCTCTCCTCCCATGTGTCTTTTGTCAATCTGGGCCCCGGAGTTTAAGAAAGAGCTGAGTCTATGGATGAGTGCCAAGTCATCCTAGCTGAGCAAAGCAACACAGGAAAAGTTTGTGAATCACATGCACTACTGAGAAGCACCCTGTTTCTACTTTCCGAATTATATTTTCACCCGAAATTATAGGACAATGAGATATGACAGTTTTGTCATTTCACTGAAGAATTATTTGCAAATACCGTTATTAAGAAAAACAAGCTTTTTATTAATGTAAGTTATAATCATAAAAGATATATAAGGCAAAAATAAGTGAAATAACAGCATATCTTTAATACTTATTTTCTTCAAAAGCTTCTGGCCAAAGGACAGATCTATATTGCCTGTCTTTCTCACTAGCTCCAGGTCTCCATGAAAGCAGAAAGTCAGATCCTTGTTTAAGATCTATCTCTACCATTTATTAGCTTCTTGTCCTTGGACAAGTCATTTAGCTATTCTACCTATTGCTTTTTCAGTAAAACTGGATTAATAGTATTCCATATTGCATGCTTCTACTGGGGTCTCAATGTCTGTGTCCCCTCAACATTCATGCCAAAACCCTAACTCTTATGGTGATGGGCCTTTTTTTTTTTTGAGTTGGAGTCTCACTCTGTCGCCCAGACTGGAGTGCAGTGGCCGCTCCCGGCCACCGCAGCCTCGAACTGCTGGGCTCCGGCGATCCTTCTGCCTCAGCCTTCCAAGTAGCCGGAATTACAGGCATGCGCTACCATGCCCGGCTGATTTTTTTTTTGATTTATTGTACAGATGAGGTCTCACTGCCCAGGCAGGTCTCGAACCCGCGGGCTCAGGCAATCCACTCACCTCAACCTCCCAAAGGCGCGGGATTACAGGCTGAGCCACCAAGCCCGGCGTGATGGGCCTTTGATAGGTAATTAGGTCACAAGAGTAGAGTCCTTATGAATATCATTAGTGTCCCTAGAGAAGGGGCCTGAGAGAAGTCCTTGGCCCCTTTTGCCATGGGAGGACACAACAAAAAGGCACCAACTATGAGCTAGAAGGCAAGCCATCACCAGACACTAAATTTGCCCCACACCTTTATCTAAACTTTTCAGCCTCCCAGACTGTGAGAAAAAAATTTCTGTTGTTTTTAAACCAACCAGTCTACAGCATTTTGGTAAAGTAGCTTGAATAGACTAAAACAAATTCTCAGCATGATAAAATGAGATAATGTAATCAAATGGGAACCAGCAGTGAAAAAAAAGTCATTCATTAAGTACTACTGACAGGTGATACTGACTTGATAGAAGAAAATATTAACACTACTTACCTAGCATCTGTTCTATTGCCACAAAGGAGAGCATGACTTTCTCCTTCCAAATGGTAAAAGTTTTCTTTTTCTGAAAAATAGGCAAAAAATGATATCTGTATCTGATCTTGAGTTAGCAGTTACCTGAAGTCTATATGAATAATCTCCGCAGAAGATAAACATCCCCCTCAACACATGAGAAAAGGGAGCAAATATCCTTGCCTTTTTCATCATGCATCTGATGCACAAGCCAAAAAGGCTTTAGGAATCCAGCAAAATTTGAACGTTCAGCATTTCTGAGACGATTGCTCTGCTTTTAAGAAGAATTTTACATTTTGACATAGATGGCAAGTGATTCTTACCTCGCATGTAATATGGGTGTCCAGTTCTGTTGTGCAGGGTTTCATTTTCATTATCTTGGGGCCATCGTAAACATTTGTGTTTCAAGTTGCCCATGAAAAGTCCCATCCCGATGAGAGAAAATATGCTCAGAAAAAACAGAGTTAAGATAATGACACCCATGAGTTTCTTCAAGCAATGGATCAGGGTCCCTACAAGGGACTTCAGACCTGAAAAAATAAATGTTTGGTTTTGATATATTATAATATCTCAGTCAAGCAATATTAGCAAACCTCTCCCACGGCAAGTGTATGCTCCATTGAAATCAATAATTTGTCTTATGATGTAATTCTCATTTTCTAGGTCTAATAAAGTAAATAATTCTTTGAGGTTTCTGTATTATTAACTTATAACATCTAGCAAAATAATTCAGACAGAATATTTAAAATTATTTTCTTGTTTTTCTTTATATATAAAGAATAATAGCTCTTCTCTCTTGGTTACTACATTTTGTACCAATCACTTGTGTTTATAAACATGAGTAAACCGGGCTCCGTGGCTCAACCTGTAATTCCACGCTTGGGAGGATGTGGTGAGTGAATTGCCTGAGCCCGCGGGTTCGAGACCCGCCTAGGCAAATTGACGAGACCTCATCTCTACAATAAATGAAAAAATAGCTGGGCGTGGTAGTGCACGCCTGTAGTTCCAGCTACTTGGAAGGCTGAGGTGGAAGGATCGCTGGAGCCCAGCAGATCGAGGCTGCGGTGGCCAGGCGCAGCCACTGCACTCCAGTCTGGGCGACAGAGCGAGACTCCAACTCAAATAAATTAATACACAAATAAATACATAAATAAATAAAAATAAGTAAAGTTGTGAAGTTATAAATCAAAGTTAAAATATTCTTGGAACAAGAAATACCTTGAAGCAACAGTAGCCTATGTTATTATTTAATTAACCTTATAGAAAATAAATGTTGGAGCTGATTAAAATTATGAAAAATGTTAATGATTAGGAATGAGAATGCTACAACTGTGATATATGTATACTGTATTTATATCAGAATACTTATTAATTGAGAATTAAAACAAAGCTGGCTTGATTGAAGTTCATTTTTCTAATTATAAACAATACATGCTAAATTCTAAAAACATAGAAAGCAAGGAAAAAATAAAAAAACATAATCATATCTCACAGATGAAACTTTATTAACATTTTGGTGTATAAACTTTCTCTTTTCTTCTTCCCTTCCTTCCTCCTTCTCTTTCTTCTTCTTCCTTCCTTCCCACTCCCTTCCTCCCTTCCTTCCATTCTTCATTCTTTCTTTCTCTTTTTCACTTGTTCTCTTATTTGTTGGTTTGTATGTATTTAGAATCCTAATAACTGTTCAGCTCAATAATGAATAAGAATATATTAGCTCTCTGATGTTGACTGAGCAAGTTATCAGCATTTTCATAACTCAGTCTTATCACCTTTAAAATGGGAATAATAGTAACTATTTTATATATTATTGTGGGAATTGAAAAACTATTCTTTTGAATGAACATATCAGATGATTAGATTTCTTGAGTGAGTGAACTGAGATAAGGTTGAAATAAAGTCATTACTGTGACTACAAAATGACAATCTAGATTAAATATATAATTTTAATTGACATCATACTGAAATACAAGCTTATAGTCTACTTTAGCCACTTAGAACTATATATTTGTTTACTATAAGCTAGTCTTTTTGAGTGTCATACTAGAAATATGATAGAATTGATGTGTCAAATATGTGACGCATTTAAGTGTTGATACATATGTTCAAATAGTGTTTAAAAGTTGCTGAATCAATGTATAACTAGACTATAACACTTTACTAAAATTGGAAAATTCTTAAATTTTTTGCCAATTTATTGGAAAAATGTTACTTCAGTGTAATTTCTATAGTTACTATTATAAACTTAAAAATATACATATTTGCGCTGTATACATACTTATTGGCTGTCATGAGTCCTCCGTATATTTTTACACTAAAATTTTTTCATATTTTTTTGTTGAAATTATTAAAAAAACAAATCTTAAATTATAATATACATATGTGTGTGTATATCTATATCTGTATCTATGTATGTTTATCTATATCTTCATTGTATACCCAGTTTCTTATGGAGCTTTAATTTTACTGGTGAAATTTTTCCTGAAGGTAAAATGACACTATTAAGTTTTCACAGAAGTAAATTTCTTAGTAATTTTCATTATCGTCTACCATTCAGATTGTTTTTTTAAGATGTGGGGTACAATTTAGGATTAGGTGTACAAGTGGTCATTGTACAGATAAAGTTTGGGTCTCCCTTTGGTCCCCACATTGCCTGACTTTAGATCAGGTACCCTTACAGGTGTTGTGCACCCTCCCCGATGCTGGCAGTATACCACTACTGCCAATCCCTTTCTTATAGTATTATACCACTCAGATTATTGTTAGGAAGGTCTGTGCCATATGCCAATTTTGACTTTAATGCTCTGGCATAACACCCCCCTTTTTACTTTTAACGTTTCATTTAGTTTGTTTTAGGTAATTCTCTTGTAGAGTTTAATTTTGTTTTTGATTTAGTATTAAAGTCCCTGCTTCTTAAATAAATTAATCCAATTACATTTATTTTCATCAATTAGCTTTACTTTATCATCTAGTTTTATTTATTTCTATATTCCGCTTATGATTTACTGTGTTTCCTATACTTTCTAAATAAACTTTACTTTTTTCTTGTAGCACTTTAGATAAAATATATTTGTTTTGAGAACTTATATCAAACTTAAGTTCCTATTTTGAATCAACATGCAAATCTCTACATCAAAAATAAGGAACTATCTACTCTAGTTCCACCATATAAGATAAGGTAATAACTATTTTATTTTCTCATATTTCCCCATTCTCACTTTTCAGTTTTTTCTTAACATAGCTTAGGTCGTTTGTCCTAGTTATAATTGTTGAATTACTATGTATTTTGCATTATGTATTTTTTTATGGTTTACAGAAAGGTAACATTTAAATCCTTATAAGGGCTTGTCAGGAAGCATACATTTTTGCTGTATTTATTTATTTACTTAAAAGATGTGGAGTACAATTCAGGATTACGTATACAAATGGCCATTGTACAGGTAAAGTTTGGGCCTGACTTTGGTCCCCCACTTAACCAGGTTTGAGATCAGGTACCCTTATTGATGTTTTGTCCTCCCTCACACCCCTGGCAGTATCCCGTTACTGCCAATCTCTTTCTTACAGTATTACGGTAAATGTTCAGGATCCACTTATGAGTGAGAACATGTAGTACTCAGTTATTTGTTTCTGTGATAGATCACTGGGTATAATAGACTCTAAATCCATCCAAGTTGCTGTGAATTTCCTAATTTTGTCCTTCTTTATGGCTGTGTAATAGTCTATCATATATATGTACCACATTTTATAATCTAGTCTACTTTTTGATTGACTATTCACAATAGGAAGCATAAATTCATACAAACAGGGAATTTACTGGAATTGGATGAAAATGCCTGATTTGAAGGGGCAGCTGCTCCTCACTTACAGCAGGTTTTTGCCATTTGGAAATGCAGGTGGATCTATGTTGACAATCTATCCAAGTTAATTTGCATTTTAATGTAAAATCATCAGATTTTTATCATGTTGGCATCTATTCCAAAGTTTTCAAAAACACAATCTATGTCTAAGTTCAAGAATGACCCATATGCTATTTTTATAAAGCGAGGTAAAAAAAAAAATGATTCACAAAGTCCATGTTGTAACTTCTGACTTATAATATTTGCACACTGTTCTGGAATCCATTAATAGTAGTTTGCAATTCATTCTCTTTTGAAATTATTTCAGAACTCATTACAATTATTTTTGGGATTAAATCGTTTCATTGTTGAATATTTTATTTTCATACTTTTTTGGCAAATATTCAGGAAAGGTACACACGAACAGTTTCAGGACTCTTGCCTGACTGAGAATATTGTTCTATTAACTTTACATACATATGAGAAACAGGTATTGAATTCTAATGTCTCAACCTCCCAACTTACACTCCCTTCCAGTCTCTAAAACTCCACTGCCTACTTAAGTTTAATCATTGTCAAGAGGTCTAAAAGTGACCTTTTGATAAAATATATTTCTCTGCTTTTTTTGCTTGTAAGATTTTATATTTTTATTCTTTAGCTATATATTATGTACTCAATTAGAGTTATTTATATTTAGTTATGTATTTTAGTCATTTTATCTAGTATAAAGTGAGTTTTTTCATTGGTAAGGTCTTTTTTGAGTTAAGAAAGCTTTTAACTTGTTTTCTATTGTATTTGAATAATTTATATTTTACATTTATTCTGGTCTGTTTTCAAGATCATCAATTATCCATAAGATGAAATATAGTTTTCTCTCCTTGATTAATCCATTCCATTTTTGGTTCTACTGTATTAATATAGAACTCATCTAGTCATTCTTTAAACAAGTGTGCTTGTTTGATGCACTATTAATACTATATTTTACTGCTTCTATTACTACCGAAGTCACCTAGAGTATTAAAATTATTTTCATCATTTTTGATCTTAAAGCTATTTGTATTTACCTATTTTATTATCACATTTTGATATCTGCTTGAGAAAGTCTAGAATTTTTTCTCTTGGGGTTATATAACAGATTATTTATTATATTCGCTTCTATTTCTTAAGTACATTTTTTTAAAAAAACAAGGTTACTTTATATTAAATATGTTTCTATTTCTGTATTGTAAAATACTTTCATTAAGTCCATATTGCTGATGTGTCTAGTATATTCACCCTTGAAAAAAAAAAGAGGGAGAAATCTCTACCATTCTGTTTATTTCCAACTCTAGTAAATGAATTCTTCTTGTATTAACTTGAAATTACTCTAGTGGTAGGAGTAAAGTAGTAGCCAGAGAGCCAGAGTTCTGGAAATTCCCACTGGGCTAACTCTCACTGCTTGGTTCCTTCCCTAAATTTAGTAATGCTCCTATGCCACAGATCATTTTTATTCAACAGCACTGAGATGCAATTCACAAACCCTCCAATTCACCAGCTCAATGTATACAATTCAATGTTTTAGTATACTCACAGGTTATGAATCATCACCACAATCTCCAATCTGTTTGTTTCTTTTGTGTAGCCTGGACTCCAAGTACATAGTGTATATATATGTCTGGCCTTTTTTCTAGTGTTCCAGTCAATGAAAGTTGCCAGTTGACCTTATTTTTTATTTCATTACATTTGCCCTTGGGTTTCTTGACACAACTATTTCATAATACTTATGACTCACAGCAGCTAAAAAAAAATTCTGACTAGAATTATTCCTATCTGATGGTATTCATTCATTCAGAACAACAAATTGGAAGGTGATGGTTGGGCTTCTGCTAAGATAACTTCAGGAATAAGAGCTGGAAATTAGTTCTCAGCATCTTTCATCAAAGTGTTTGCAGTTCAACCTTATTTAGCAGGAAGTCTCTGAATTTTGTGGCATGAGAATTGCACCCTAACCAAGTGCTCAAAGCAAAGGGAATTAATCATATTACATATTACCTTGTTCATTTCAGCTGATTTTTTGATAGAATAAAGAAAAGAAGAAAGCAGATTAAAATGAAGGACATACCCTCATGGAAATTGGAACTGGCCTCCAATTCCTGAACAAAACCTGAAACCCACAGGTCATAAGAGAGAAGATAGACAAGTGGGACCTTATTAAACTGACAAGCTTCTGCAAAGCCAAAGAAACCATCAAGAGAGCAGGAGACAGCCTACAGACTGGGAAAAAGTACTTGACA